CTCAAATTCTGCTAGACGGATTTCAGTGTCAGTACTAGTACTGGAGATATATTGTGTGGTTTGGACAGAGAATATTGCTGTATTATTACAAGTTTGTGTTGGCGCTCGATCGTTCGTATCGACAAGCATTTTGTTTCGATAATTTTCGTCATTCCGCATGATTTCTCCTCGTACTTGCTGCACCTGCTTCAAATGGTTCTCATATACATGTATTATGCTATATTACTGTAAGATATTTAGACCGACACCCAGATCCTATTAGGCAGTAATGACCACTGCCAACCAATGAGATAGTATAGATAATGCTAATGCTACCGAAACGTATGCTCGTTTTTTTTCAGTAGGATCGTTGTTAATAGGGCCCAAATTAATTAGTGGAGCGGCTGCATCTAACTCAACTCATTGTCTGAATTTTTGCCTACTGTTTTTCCTTTAATCATTCTTACGAGAGTGACTGACAAGCGTCCAGATGCACGGGGACTTTATTATGATATTTACAAGCTTATTCATGGAGGTATTTCTAACAGCAACGCATGGAATGCCGTTTATCATATGATGTAAAACCCTTATCACGCCTCGAGAAGGAGAGTAAATATTCTAGTAAGCTCTTACCTACAGGAGAATTACCTAAACCAAGAAATAGGGATTCAGCTGCAGGTATGGTTACATGTTGGTACAAATAAAGTCAATTTACAATATTAACACCGTGCATTTCTTATAATTTAGAGACTCAAACTCTTTTTTGAATAAACTTGTAATTCAACGGGCTTATTTACAGTTATACGAGTTTTATTCAAAGGTTTGAATTATATACGATGTGCTTCCACGTATGTCAATATGGTTGAGTTAACAAAATCTCCGGTAGCACATGATCCACATCCGATGACATTTCAGCAAGCGAGTCCAGTGATAACTCCTTCGACTACTGGAATTGTATGGGCGTTGGTAATATGTGCCCATGATGATATTTTGTAAATGCCTAACGAGTATTGTAGAGCGACTGTGTTTCCTATCTACCATGAATAAAAGTGATTTGATCGTTAAGCAGAACACGAAATAGGCGAGTGAAGTTTAGCACTTGATATTAACAAGAACCGCACCAATATCGGCAAACTTTTTGTCTTCAAAAATCGTAAAATCATGACTTTCTGGCATGTAATTTTACTATTAAGTCTTCGTCAAAATCTTGATAAGTGAGTCACATGATAAATCTTCCTCCGCGGTCGAAAAATCCGCAGGAAACAAAATGTTGCGACAGCACAAAACGCTATAATTAGTCTATATTTAATTGTTCTTCTAGAAATAGTTAAAAGTGCGTCGCGTTTTTTCCGCGACGCTCGAAGATATATTAGTTCAAATTCCATCGTCAAAAGATCATGTTGTAATGTTGCCACATTAAATGTTGTTACGAATAAATAAAATATTACTGATCTTAGTAGTATTCTCCCGCAATGAAGGGCTAGTATAAAGAGAATAACTCGTTTCATGCTTATCTTACGAAAGCCAAATTTGTAATTTTCACGGTTTATTTACAAATGTTTACTCCTCTTCTGATTAATTAGCTATTCTTATGTGTATGTCAATTGAATTGAGTTAATAGAAATCCGGACGAGTTTAGTTTGCAGAATAGAAATAAAATTTGAGGTGACCGCACGCCATACATAGAATATCAAAAATGGGAATTGGCGCTTAATTTGCAAAAAATACAATCAATTCATTGTAGCTTTATGTAGTATGTATGGAAAATAGAGATTGCAAAATTAAAAGTTTTGAATATATCAATAAATTTCAAGGGATACCTGATACTCTTTATAGCGCAACATTCGTAAATATATTTAATCAAGACAACATTGAAAAAAAGTTATATTGCACTTTGGTAGCGTGTCATGTAATAAGAAGTAACCGTTACTTTTGAAATTGTTATTATTATTTTCATCAAGCGTGAAAAAGATTGGACATATGGTCACTGAATTTGAGAGCACAACGTGTGCTTCAGTTTGCTCTATGCCAAATTTGCCTTAAATTTCTCTATTAAAGAACAATACATGATAATAAATTCTGTATAAACAATGCTATGAATACGACTCATTTGTGAACGTGGTAATGCTGCTAAAAACTCATTGATACATGTACTATAATTATAAATTTAACTGAATATCAAACAATGACTTCGGATACACAAATTGAAGTTTTTAATTTCTTGCTCTGCTCATATAATACCCGCGCAAAAAATTATCTGTTTACGTATACTAAACAATTCTCATCGACAATGAAAGTCTCGTTAAAAATGCATCTGCCCGGGATCGAACCGGGGACCTTGTGCGTGTGAAGCACACGTGATAACCACTACACCACAGATGCTGCAGTACAAATGGCTTGTCCTTTTTTTTATTTAAAAGCTTTTACAGAGAAAACCGAATATTTTTTTTTTACTATCGTTATTGTAACTTTGACTACATTGATAATAATGATATAACGCTAATTCTCAGTAATTCCAAAAATCTTCTTCATCTTCCTCTTCAACCCCCACTTCTCCTCTCTGTGCAAACCATTTGTTAGCTACCTTATCAGACTTTTCAACCAGCAACAACATAGCTTTAACAAAGTCGACAAGTTTCACTAGATGAGGATCTGGTCCTAATATACTTTCAATAGTCCATTTAGGAAGCGCACCGGCACACAGATGGATATTTTCTTCAAAACTTTGGCTATGATCGAAATTTGTAATCTGTAATAAATGAAAAGTAAGTCCAATGAATATAATCCGTGGTCCTGTTTGTATTTGTTGGACGATAAAACAGAAGTATTTCGACTGATGACTAACCTCGAGGCTGTAGTGTACCTTGCCCTCACCGGTTTTACCCAATCTTTTATTCGCGTGCTGATCATCAATAGGTATATTTTCTATTCGAGAAAACTCGGCAATAAAAGGCTTGTGTAGTTTAAACTTTTGCGTTGTTCGTTTGGAAATCGAAGTGACATGAAGAAAATCTGGAATATCCTCGAATGATATTCGGCCTTTAGTCGGCGTAATAGACACTTTTTTCATAAATACGTTGAATGGCTTGATACTACTGCGGATCGACCGACGTCTAGCCACACTGAATTGAAAGTCGAATTTTCTGTGTGTATGCGTGTGGTGTGTGTGTGTGTGTGTGAGAGAGAGAGAGAAAGAGAAAGAAAGAGAGTAGTTATAGACAAGAAACATTGTTATAAATCTGCGCAAAAAACTCGTAAGTTTTGGATATCGTATAATTACCGATCAAGAACATTCCAGCAGGCGTCTGCTACGTGTTCCCATGGGAATGTCACTTTTTCCAGTTGTACACGGTTGATATTCACGCACATAACAACGGTTTCGTAATCGGCTTGTTTAGCATTGCGAGCTTTCGCGTGAATTTCAAAGTGTTCAGTGCGCTGGAACGGCTTTTCTCCGCACACTTCGCCAAGATACTCGACTAGTTTATGATCGTCATCGTACGCTGCCCTATTATAATATATGGATTAGGCTTTCCGACATTATTTTGGCTTAAGCAGGTAGTATAATACGTAAGTATTATGCATCATCAATCACCCACTTACACGTTATGGAAACAGTGTGTTACTCCTAATTGATTCTCTATCATATTTAAATCGAGGAATTCCCAGTACAAATTTTCTACATGCTGAGGAACTTTCTGGAAGATAGTTTTTCCGAGACTAAAATTGTGCAATCGAAGAGTTTGAATAATTAATAGTTATTACAAATGAAAAAATCGTTGGCAACACATGGATATATAGTTACCTTCCAAAAAATCGAATTTCTCCTTTCAAGGGGTGACAAAACTTTAGTCTGTAGTGATAATGCAAATTTAATTATAATTCCGTTTATAGTCACAATATTGTCACTAAATGAAACTTACGCCTTGCGAAATATGTCTTGCATGTGATGAAAGTTATGTTCCCGGAGCCTAATCATCTCAAACAAAAAGAAAACGTAAATTTCAGAAATTGTGTATTAGGATAATTGATCCTCATTGCATGAAACCATACCATAACTTAAATATAAACGTACGTTCGACCGGGGTTAATGTTACTCGTGGATCCACCACCAATAGTCTTTTCGTAAATAATATCCCTTAAAGTCTTCCTCATGGGGGTGCGTGAGGCATCAGCCAACCTCTCGTCCAGTGGATCAGCCGGAATCTTGGTCTCGTAAGTACTGCGAGGGGGAAAGTCGTCTTCAAAACTGTCGTCATCGGGCAGCCGTCTGGAACTACGGGGCACTACGCCATATTCATCCTCAGGCATGCCTCGAGCCCTCATTTTTCTCATAGAAGCTAATTGCTGTTTCTTGGCCTCTTTCCGAGCCGACTTTTGTTCGTCGGTCAGACGGACCCAGGCATTGTAGTCATCATCAGGACGAAGAGGTGGTTTGGGAGGAGCCGATGATTGGGGAGGAGGAGAAGGACGAACTGATGATTTGGAAGATCGCGAAGAGGAAGCTTTACTGCTCCGCGATCTTGGCTGTTTTCCTAGAGTTTGTGCTATAACGAACTTATCAGTGCCTTGTCTGGTGGCTGGTACTAGGATAAATGGCTCTCTTCTCACGTGCCTGACCACGTCTCTGAAATATTCGTGCCTTCTAAGTGGAACAAAAGCAATCTTGAACCAAACGCTCGCGTCAGGATAATGTACAAGTGGGACCGAAAGATGTTTAAATTCAGGGCGGAGCTAGGTGTTTTTAGAATGCCACATAATGTTATATAATTTATGTATGATCACAGCACGCATGATGACAGCAAAGGCATTAATTAATATATTACCGCAATCATTTCCAGCACCCTAAGCCTTTCCATGGCTTCTTCGATATCACGTCTCTTGCCTTCAGTCATTTGAATTATCTGGGAAAGGACAAAGAATTAATATTGAATGGCTTGGGTTAATCAATCGATGAGCAAATATGGACAGAGTATCGTGTTATTGCTATATACATAAAGCCGAGCTTGCAAATATTAGCCAATCTATGGTTATCCCATATATTCAACCACAAGTTTCTACAACACCAATGGATATCACCCTTACCCGCCTATCTAAAATTAAATCACCAGCGACGTTCAAAGCTCTGGATATTTCCATCCAGTAATCAATAGGCATGTTGAACTCTTTTGTCCCAAGAACAGCTTCAATATCCACAATGTCATCATTAAATCGGAAAATATCATGTGGAGAATCCTCTTCCTCCCATGTCAGATCCCTTTCGAGATTGTTCGTGCTAATAAAGAATGGAATCTCTTCATCAGTGTGGAGTTGAGGCGGTTGGAGTTGGGTAACCGGCGTGTCCTCGATTCGCGAAGGTCGTTTTGTTTTTTCGGGTATGATAAAACTTAGTGAAGCTTCTTTTGCTGACTACCAGAGGTTTTTGAAAAGTAAATTAACATACAAGTGATATAAATTATGGGAAAAACATTTGCATATATCAATCTTCTTCATTACCTTTGATACCAACAATTTTATCATTTCATCTCGCCTAAATTGCATGCGACAGATCAAGCGTTAGGGAAGCTGGTATTATGAAATCGCATGCATGAATGAGCATATTTAACCCTACGCTTTTATAACGTTTTCTTGATCATATCCCTTCAATTCAAAGTACTAGGAAGCAAAAAACATAGAAATAAACTTTGTTTAGATAAGGTCCATCATTGACACAAGTCAAATTTCAAACCATACCTGCTTTCGACTAATGAAAACGATTTCAATATGAAAATCTTCTTCTAATGCCCTGTTAACGCGAAGAGTAAAAATAATCAGTTACAAGTATTTGCGCGTCTCTTTCTCGCTCCTATCAAATGTCATACCGAAAATTCATTTTAAGCTTTTCGATTGCTTCGTCGCTCCATTTCCACACGGTGTGTATGATCAGCGTAATGCCCGGTCTGTCTGTTCAATTGGTGATCGAACGAGTCTTCAGTAATGTTAATCTAATCATTAACACGTGAATTATCATTTATAATAGAGTCCCACACATGCCTACTTCAGTGTCCATTGCTTGCTTGTAGCTTATTATCTTTAAAATGAAAAAACAGAATAAATTAAGAGAACATAATTAGTCACGGGATTGAAATGTATTGTTCACGTGTTAAAGTAACACAAGAAAATAGGAAATGCACTGAGATGTAATCGAAATCTCATAGTTCACAACGATGCCGTTAGTTGAAAAGATTCACAATCCAGAAATTAACAAGTTAATCGCAACAAGTAACTATGAACTTAAGTGGGTTCCTTCCTCGGAAATCATCGACGTAAAGTCAAGTCCAACAAACGCTATCCATTACGCTGCTCGCAAACAATATGCTAGTGAGCAGATGATAATGTTGCTATTCCTTGGAAATGATGATACATGTACGCCAACACTTGTGAGTGAGTTTGCCAGAATATACTCACTTCCAACACGCAAGTACAACAATGACTTTAATCAGTTCAGAAGATATTCTAAATGGCTCAAGTATCGCAACAAATTCATCAAAGGATTTACCAAATATGATGATAACTATTACATGGTTGCTAAGAGACACTTTTATCATTGTTATTCTCGATATGGATTCTGCTCCGCATGTGGAATACTCCGATGTAGTCCCGTGTGGTGTATCTGTGGACATAAACATTTATCAGATGGATGGACTAGCAACAATAAGCAACTCGATGAGTTTGTTAAGAAATCTCAATTACAAACAAACTCACCAAATGATGCCTATTTGGAATGGATTTCATTTGATTGTATTAATGATAGGGGAAAGCATGGCTTATATTTGCATGGACTACCTACTGATAATGATACGCAAGTTACATTAACTCCGCTTGAAATAACGGATGAGACTGATGATTCATATTATAACAAGGTGATTATCAAGTATTCGTATGAATATATCATTGTTACGATTGTTTAGCTAAATATTGATTTATGTATAATTTCAATTAGTTGTGTGATGAGCATCCAGATATTCTTACCACGAATGTTTGGGTTACCATCGGATTGACATACGATGCAGACGAACAGAAGTATTATTTAATAAAAGAATATCATGGGCGTGGAGTATGCTTGGCGTGTACATGGCGATTCGAACCCAAGATAAATACCTTCTGTTACGGGTGTAAAGCCCCAAGACCACTCGACTGGACCACAGGCAACAAGGCTTTGGATGCATTCATTACGGAATCATGGAGTAATGTTAAGCATATAAGTGATACCTATCTACAATGGCTTGAATGCTCTCTATTGGCAGACGTACAATGGATGACATCACTACGCCATGGATACACAGATATAGCATATTGGTTAGATCCAGTAATGGATAGATCGATAAAAGTGAAACTCAAGCATATAGGTGATTCTCTGACGCATGATTTTTATCAGGTAATTGTTTCACGTATAAACAATGCAAAAAATATTAAGTATTCATTGCTTGACTGTTTTAATAACTGTATTGTTGATTTAAATAGCTAATTAATGAATACCCGGAGATATTAACCCCCCAGAATAATTTGATAATTGGGATCACTCAAAAACCATCTACTCAAGCATATTATTTAGTTTCCCATCATGAAATACGTCCATTATTGGACGAAATTATACAACATTATGAATATCTACAGTATATGGAATATACAGATTTTCATGAACTCGAAGAGATTGGATCTGGTGGTTATGGAACAGTCTGTACTGCCAAATATAAGTACAGCAATACTTATATACCAGAAATTGTTGTACTCAAGCGATTTAAAAATTTTGATTGGACATCAGAATTATTTATTTCCGAGGTAAGCAGCCTTGATAGTATTAATTAAACTGGTAGTTAATTTGACTTGTATTTATTTTATTTACAGTTCAGAAATCATGCCAAGTGCTTAGAAAGCCTTCCATCTTTCCTTGAACTTTATGGAGTCGCACAAGACCCAGAAACAAAAGAGTACATTATTGTTATGCAATATGCTAACAATGGTAATCTTTTGTCTTATTTGGATCAAAACATAAACAAATTGACGTGGAAGATGAAATTACACCACTTGAATGATATTGTATGTTACCTGTATAATATTCATAAAGCGGGATTAGTGCATTGTGATCTTCATGGCGGAAACATAGTTTTGCATGATAATGGTGATAAGACAGAATCATTCATATGCGATCTTGGTCTTTCTCAATTGGCGAATTCACTTGAACAAAATAATTCAACCATTCAAGGCGTTTTACCCTTTATTGCACCGGAAGTCTTCCATAACCGTATATTTACTCAGAAATCAGACATATATTCTTTTGGTATCATTATGTATTTGATTGCTACTGGTGAACCACCTTTCAGAGATAGAGAATATGATAATGATGGACTTTTAATATGTAAAATCATGGAGGAGGGACTACGACCATCGATGCCCGTTTCGGCACCAAAGGAATATAAAAAACTCGCTGAGATGTGCTGCGATGCTGATCCTGACAGACGTCCAAGTGCGTGGGAATCCTATCACTGGATCAAAAAAATGGTAGACATTAATTATGACAGCAACATATCAGTATGGAACACCGTCTATCACAATGACGTAAAACCCTTATCACGTCTCGAAAAGGAGAGTAAATACTCTAGTAAGCCCTTACCTACTAGAAATTTGCTTAAGCCGGGAAATCGCCATAATTTGGATTCAGCTGCGGCAACAATTTGTTATAATTTACAATGTTAATACCGTCCATTTCTTATTATTTAGAGACTGGAATTCTTTTTTGAATAAACATGTAATTCACAGTTTATACAAGTTTGTTCAGCTTCTCTTCCAACTAAATACGATATGCTTTCATGCCAATATGGTTGATTTAACAAGACTCCGAAATAAAATCGTGCATTATTGTTAGTTGCCTTTGCCGGGGTAGAGCTAGTGATGAATCATCAATTCCTCGAACTGTCTCCTTTCGTGATATTGCTGCATATCCCGTAACGGCGCCAAGTTCATATCGAAATAACGTTTAGTTTGCTCATTCCTAATTTCTGGTCGACAGTCTACTAGTTGCAACAATCATAACATCCATAATGCATTCACCGTTCTCGGGTTAAGATCATTTCCAATATTTGCTCAATGTTGCGGATCGAGGTGGTATGTATTATCACCCGCCCATGGTCCACCTGCAATCTTTTCGAATGAAGTTTGGATATATTCCATGGTAAGTAAAAACTGCAAGACTAACATCATCTGTTGGCCGCCCCAAATAGACCGAGTGCATTGATGCCATTCGGGTGACAACAAGCAAGAAAATCTACACACTAGTTAAAGATGACGGAGCGAATCCGTTGTCTTTGCACTCGATGAACCGAACTGTACGTGAAGCACACTCCCAACTGCGCGATCCTCTTCCAGTTATGCCTGAACCGCCCATGTGACCGGAACCAACCGCTTTTATAACGAGTTTCGGGATGTTCTGTCTTTATAAAGCAAATTCTCGGGCTTTAAATCTATAGACAAAAAAAAGAAGAGATTAGCAAAAGACAAATAACCAAGACAAGACAATTCATAAAAACTCGATTTACCGCAAGGTACGACGTGTTGGTCGCTCTAACGTATAGTCCCATAAAGTAAGTGTGCTAACGTCTGAAGCAATTTATTCGGTTTCCAAACTCATTAATTGGCTCAAGGCTACAAAAGTTGCATTGTATTTTCCAACCTAACTTCGCTAGTATTCCAAGTTAATGGTCAGATAAATAGCTCGCCCGATATATCGATATGGAATTAGGGTGACGAATTAGGAAATCTGTGTCATGGGAACGACAAAAGAGAAAGCGAGACTAAAAGAGGTCTCATAATCAAATAATTACACCTTTAGCGTTCAATCGTAGTTGTTGACAAATAAAGAACGCAAAACTTCATAATCAAAAATAATTGACTTGGTGACAAGAAAAGATCGATAATGATGAGATTGCATTCACGTCGTTATTTAAGTATCCGGATTTGTCAAATGTACAAGAACTTTCGACGCGGTTTCTCCAGACATTTATTACCTTCATACACGTAACACGTTTTTTTATTAAAACAGTAGATTTTGCTTCATGATGTTTCCCAAACTAGCCTTACCAATAGGCTGAATAACACAACGTATAACTTGAGCGGTGCTGAATAACCAGATTTTCAAGTTGTATAAGCCGGTTCAAAGACAGCAATCAATATGATTATTACTTTATTTATCGGGTATAGCTGCAGTTATTTGATGATGAAATAAAAAAATGGTATAACGCAACAACTACGTAAAATAACTAGACTTCCCAGAAAGCTTGTCACATACTTTATTACTTAGAAAATTTTCAGTATAAAATTCTATTCTCATTTTCAAGTTTACATCTGTTTTTCATTGATAGAACCACCAAATTATTGACTGCCTCATCAGAGATTGCATCCCACTCCTCCAAATCATAAACTTTTCCAATTTTTCAATATCTTTGGGCAAATGTTTTTCGACATTGTTTTTTATTATGTGCCACATGTTTTCATATTCAGTCTGGACTATTGGATGACCCAAATCCCATTTTCGGCTATGAATTTCATGATGTATTTTGGATAAAAAGGATACCGCTATAGAAATTGTTTGCTCTAATGGCTGATGTCGTGCCGACTATTGCGGGAGAGCAGACACTTGGGATTTAGCTAGTATCGACGCAGCGTGGCGCCTTCTTCTTCTAGTTAAATGTCTAGGGTACAGTTAGTGACCTCGTCAATTCAAGGCTTTCCACTTACGAGCTTTTTTATCGTAGAATGACGCTAATCCTGGATATTTTAATTGTACTCGAGTATGTCTATCGGTTACTATCGTGGGATAAAGTCGATAGTCTCCCGTTTGGGGTACAATGGTGTATAAATCATAATAATGCGCATCTACATAACAATTAATTATCGTAATTTGCCACTCAAATCAAGAGGCAAATTATTCTTCACCGATATAGGGATTAGCGGTTTCTCAGCTATACCGATAAGTTACCAGGGAATGAATCATTAACAATGTATTTCAGAGTA